AAAAAAAAAAAAAAACAAATTCTAAACCGGACACTGCTTTTTCTTTTTCGACAAGCGCGCCGTGTTTTACCCATTTTGTGATTGATATCTTTCCCCCCGTTAGGCCCAGCGAACTGAGCGGTGTCGCCGAGAAGGGCAACTTGAGCGAGACCAAGATGACGTTCCCGGAGGGGGGCGGGGATGGGGGTGGGAAGGGGAAGGAGTTCCTGTCGAACGTCTCCGTGGCCGCGTCGCTTCACGCCAGCAGGGGCAAGTGAGTGGGTTCAAAAAATTTACGTCTTTTTTGTGTTTATTTTTTTTTTGTGTGTGTGTTTTTGGGGGTTTTATTTTTGACGACGATGCGTGTGTTTTCCTAGGCACGGTCACCAGAACGGGCACGAGAGCAGCACGCACAACATGCCCGGCGAGAAGCCCATGCAGCCCTGGGCGAGCCGCCTGCGCATGGGCGTGCTCATTGTCACCTGGCTCGTGTTCACGGTAAGGATATTGCGAAAATTAATTGCAAAGTATGTAACATCTAGGTGTATTTTTTTAAATTTAATTCTTTTGTAATTGACAGGGTATTTTGATGACGAAGAGTGAACGAGAGTTGGACGTCCATCAGATATCCGTACCCAAGAACCAGACCAAGAGTATCCTTTTACTTGCTGGGGTGGTAGGAGGGCGGGGGGGGGGGTTGCTTTACTGTGTAGTACTTCTCCCACTGCTTTTCGTACTTCCCTTGACTCGGCGACCCCCGCAGGCTACAACATGCTAAACATGCCGACCGAGAGGCAGGTGTCGGTGACGGTGGGGGGCGCGCTGCTGCCGCCCGAGTATGGCAACATGACGGACTCGTTCATGGAGGTGTGGATCGAGCTGATCCAGACGCGGATGCAGCTGCCCGAGTCGGACCGGCGCAACGTGTCGCTGCACATCAACAAGGCCGACATCCTCTTCTCGCGGAACCTGAGCGAGCCGTGGCGCATCCCGCTGGTGTCGGCGCAGTCCATCGACGTGGTGCCGGAGATCAAGCGCGAGAACATGTTCGACCTGGACGACTTCGAGATCGCGTAAGCAGCCGTTCCAAGACTTCTTCACCTTCAGGGGGGGTACAAATATTATGGGGTTCCAAAAGGATCAGGGCCATTGTTGAAGCCCGTATGGACCGCATAATATTTGTACCCCGGGGTACGAATGTCATGGGGACTGCAACCATGGTCCTGAGCCTTTTGGTACCCCTTGGCTGCCTTGGCATTTGTACCCCGTTCTGTGCTCGACTCTGGGCTCTCCTGCTTGACGCGATCCTCGTCCCGTTGCAGTAGCATCCCCCACAGCTTGCTGCGCCTGCAGCTGCGCACCAACCTGCACATCTCGTTCCCGGTCGCCATCCACTACGACACGTCCCCGATCAACATGGAGGACGGCGTCATCTACGCTGCCGTGGTGCTCGTGGGGCTGTACGCCATGGTCATATTCGAGGTCAGTGCCCATCCCCCGCCAAATAATTCCCCCC